TATGAACAAGTAAAGAAGATAATGAACATGTAAAGAAGATAATAAAGATGTAAAGAGGATAATGAATATGTAAAGAAGATAATGAACAAGTAAAGAGGATAATGAACAAATAAAGAAGATAATGAACAAGTAAAGAAGATAATGAACAAGTAAAGAAGATAATAAAGATGTAAAGAGGATAATGAATATGTAAAGAAGATAATGAACAAGTAAAGAGGATAATGAACAAATAAAGAAGATAATGCACAAATAAAGAAGATAATGAACAAGTAAAGAAGATAATAAAGATGTAAAGAGGATAATGAATAAATAAAGAAGATAATGAACAAGTAAAGAAGATAATAAAGATGTAAAGAGGATAATGAACATGTAAAGATGATAATGAACATGTAAAGAAGATAATGAACAAATAAAGAAGATAATGAATATGTAAAGAAGATAATGAATAAATAAAGAAGATAATGAACAAGTAAAGAAGATAATAAAGATGTAAAGAGGATAATGAATATGTAAAGAAGATAATGCACAAATAAAGAAGATAATGAACAAGTAAAGAAGATAATAAAGATGTAAAGAGGATAATGAATATGTAAAGAAGATAATGAATAAATAAAGAAGATAATGAACAAGTAAAGAAGATAATGAACAAATAAAGAAGATAATAAAGATGTAAAGAGGATAATGAACAAATAAAGAAGATAATGAACAAATAAAGAAGATAATGAACAAGTAAAGACGATAATGAACATGTAAAGAAGATAATGAATAAATAAAGAAGATAATGAATATGTAAAGAAGATAATGAATATGTAAAGAAGATAATGCACAAATAAAGAAGATAATGAACAAGTAAAGAAGATAATGAACAAATAAAGAAGATAATAAAGATGTAAAGAGGATAATGAATATGTAAAGAAGATAATGAATAAATAAAGAAGATAATGAACAAGTAAAGATGATAATGAACAAGTAAAGACGATAATGAACATGTAAAGAAGATAATGAACAAATAAAGAAGATAATAAACATGTAAAGAAGATAATGAACAAATAAAGAAGATAATAAAGATGTAAAGAGGATAATGAATATGTAAAGAAGATAATGAACATGTAAAGAAGATAATGAACAAATAAAGAAGATAATGAACAAGTAAAGAAGATAATAAAGATGTAAAGAGGATAATGAATATGTAAAGAAGATAATGAACAAATAAAGAAGATAATACACAAATAAAGAAGATAATGAACAAGTAAAGACGATAATGAACATGTAAAGAAGATAATGAACATGTAAAGAAGATAATGCACAAATAAAGAAGATAATGAATAAGTAAAGAAGATAATGAACAAGTAAAGAAGATAATGAATAAGTAAAGAAGATAATGCACAAATAAAGAAGATAATGAACAAGTAAAGAAGATAATAAAGATGTAAAGAGGATAATGAATAAATAAAGAAGATAATGAACATGTAAAGAAGATAATGAACAAATAAAGAAGATAATGAACAAGTAAAGAAGATGATGAACAAGTAAAGACGATAATGAACATGTAAAGAAGATAATGAACATGTAAAGAAGATAACGAACTTGCAAAGAAGACAATGAACATGTTGAAAACACTCATGGACATCTAAAGATGATAATGAACATTTAAAGAGGATAATGAACATGTAAAAAAACTCAACTGTTGTTTGGTATCCTGGTGTCCGGTATTTTTGTGTTTTTCCTTCAAAAATCAAACTATATATAGTGAGTAACAAAATACGGGTTTATATA